CCACCACCACTACACAGTAACACACCTCTATGGCTTCACTTGCGCATCAGCCTGGGCTCTGGCCTCCAGAATGGCTGCCATGGCCCCTTCTCACGCCAGCCAGTGACCTGAATGCACCAACTGTGATCCAGTTATTCCCCAATTTAAACTTTGGTGATTCCTCGTGTCTTTAAGATACAGTCCGACCTCGGCCTGACATGCCCAAGTCTTAACCCTCCGGCCTCTGCCAACAGCTCCAGGCTAGGCTGTTCCTTCTCTGACCATTATGCCCTGTCCCAGCCAGCCTCTCCACACTGTCTGGGTTGGGCAGCTGTACCCACTCCTACTCCCATCCTTCCTCAAGTCCCTATAGGTGCCCTACAGGAGCACACACCCTGCTGAGCCCACTGCTCGCATCATGCTGTGCTAGGATTGGATTGTTCAACTGGGTTAGCCCCACCTGCTAGACGGGAGCTCCTGGAGGAGCAGTCGTTTGGAGGTTGTGAGCACACATTCTGCAGGCCCCACCCCACCCCGGCCTGGCGTCAGATCTCAGCACTTCTACGTTTTGCTGTGTGATAATGGGCAAGCTACTTACCTCTACTTTCTCATCTGTAAAATGGGAATAATAGTGGCACATGCCTTTAAAGGTTGTTGTGAGGACTGAGATACACACAACAAACACACCTGTAATGACACACAGTAACTACTGTATGAATGCTAGCTATAAATTAACACACTCACTGACAACCAGCCCATTCAGATTCATAGCAGTCCTGGGGGACAGAGTAGAACTGCCTCTGTGGGATTCCGAGGTTCCGAGACTAACTTCACAGAGTGGAAAGCCTTATCTTTCTCCCTTGGAGGACTGGTGGTTTCGAACTGCTGACCCTGTTGTTCGCAGCCCAACTCATAACCACTCTGCTGCCAGGGCACCTTCAGGAGGAGACTAGTAGGAGCTAAAAGGACTCAGTGGCAGTGGACTTTAACCTTTCACAATCGTCCTGTAAGGCTAATATGCCTTGTTCTGGATCTCATGTTTTATACATGACCACACAGGCTCCAGCAGGCTTCCGTGGTGCCCCACCCCCACCCCAGCGGCCCAATCACATCCTCCGGCCTGTGCTCCCGCCCTTTGCTGAGGCTCCAGGTGTCTCCCCCTCACCTGCCACGTCTCCCTGGAGTCTCCTGGCCTGGGCTCTGTTGTTGTAGGCTGAGGCCCTCTCAGGCAGCAGGCAGATGGCTTGGCCAAACCTCTCCAGGGCTGTGCTGAGGTCCCCAGCCTCTGCTGCCATTACCCCCTGGAGCTCCAGGGCCTTGCACTGCCCCAGCTGTTCTCCAGGGAAGATTGCATCTGTGCCAGGGAGGGGTCCAGGAAGGGACAGGTGTGGGGTTAGGAACGAGGAAGAGAAACCACCTTGGGGCTGGAGTGCAGTGTTTGCGGCAGGGGTGCTCTGTGAGCTGGCACTGCCTACATGCTGAAGAGCCCTTGGCTGGTCTCGGTGGCCAGGAGGAGGCCTAGACTGCTCCCAGCATTCTTCCCCCACCCTTCTTCCTCACTTCCGGTTCCAGTGGAGACATCCCATCATTTCCCAAGGATACACCGCTTTGCACCTACTCTGCTTATCCCTGTCTATCCACTAAATCCTTGTCCCAAGTCCTCCGTTCCCAACTCTGCTGTCACACATTATCATTCGCACTCTTAGCCACTTTGTCAGCCAGCCACTGCTGGCCATCTTCCTGCCTAGTCTGCATACGCCATCTAGGTTCCAGGCTCTCAGTGGGTCACCTTCCTGTTGCTTCAAGCAAATAAAACCCACTGGAATGTGCTGCCTCCACTGCTGCGAGCCCAGAACTGGATGGTGTCTAGCTACCGTTATTGAGTGGTTTGAGCTGAGGTTACGAGAATTCAGATCAACAGGAAGAGAAATGTGGACCAGAATCGAAAATGTTCACGGAATCCAGACCTTTTAGGGCAGCGGTTCTCAACCTTCCCCATGCCTCCACCCTTTCACAGTTCCTTATGTTGTGGTGACCCCCCAACCGTAAAATTATTTCCGTTGCTACTTCATCACTTGTTATTTTGCTGCTGTTAGGAATTGGGTGACCTCTGGGAAAGGGTCATTCGACCCCCAAAGGGGTCACGACCCACAGGTTGAGAACCAAGGGGGTCGGATGAGTCCTTGAAATCACTGCCTCGAGAAGATCATCTTTAAACCTTAAACCCAAACTCCTGAAGTCTGTTTTAGACCAAACTATAAACCCTCACTGCCGAGTCGATTCCGACTCAATGACCCTTATAGAACTGTTTCCAAGGCGGTCCTGCCGCGGGTAGAAAGCTTCCGCTTCCTATTGCAGTGGCTGATGGTTTGCTGAAACTGCTGACCTTGCAAAGGCTCAGCCAGCAGTCCGACACAGAAACTGCCACGCTATCAAGGCTCCCGCTGGCCTATGCCGGAAGCCACTCATCTGAGCCAGCGCCCACCCCTCTGTCTTCCAGCTTATGCTTGGCGATAGTCTGTTATGACAAAGACAGGGAATTTAACAACCCCTCCCTACCCAACACACTTGCATCAAAGTTTAACTTGGACTTCGGGGTGCAGTCAAAGGTGAAGTCCTGTCAGAGCTGTAGCAGCTGAGACTGAGACCAGCCCTAGTTGTCTCCTCTCCTCAGTGACTCCTGTCAGGCCAATCAATGCCTCAAGTTAAACCACCTCTGTTGATTTCAATCTGAGTCATAATCCTGGGGTCAAGGACCAAGAGAGCTTATAAAACCACTTCCCTCTGTCACCCCAGGGAGGCAAGACGGCCAGCTTCTGAGCCACACTCCAAGGTCAAGTGCTCACCTTCGTCCAATTCTTCCACTACGTCCTCTCCCATGTCCAACCCAGCAACGTCTCCAAATGGGGTGTCCGGGTTGAAGATGGCTTGCAACACTGCCTGATCACTTGGGGTCCCTGGGGTGCTCATCTCCAACTCCTGGAAGGCGGCTTAGAACCAGCAGAGGAGAGGACAGCCTGCAGAACGCGCCTCAGCTAGCAGGTGCTTCTGTCTGAGAAGAGCTGCTTCCATCTCTTGGCTGTAGTCCAAGCTCAACCCCTTCTGCCTGAGGTTAGTGGCCCTGACTCCCAGCAGGGTATTTACAAATATTTCTCAATGGCAGCCCACAAAGGGACCCTGGTCCTACAAGGGAGTCAACAGTCCACTTTGGTCTTAAGGTGGAACAGAGAGCAGGCGCTGTCATTTTGTCCCTGCCTGCCCTCCACTGGATCAAGGTGGGAGGTTACACAGATGGACAAAGAACTTTGTCCTGACCTGTTCCTTCTGTCCAGAACGAGTTAAATTAGGGCCTGAATGTGTATCCCTGAGGAGCAACGGGAGAAAATGCAAGTAAAGGCCAGGGCGGAGTGGAGTCTGAGGGAAAAAACCCCAAGTTCACTGCCGACTCACATCGACCCTATAGGACAAGGTAGACCTGCCCCTGTGGGTTTCTGAGAACTCTTTATGGGAGTAGAAAGTCCCATCTTTCTCCCTCACACGGTTGGTGGCTTCAAACTGCTGACCTTTGCAGGGAGCAGCCCGATTTCTACGGGCTCCTCAGAGGCTGAGCAAGGGCATGGGAAACGTTGGGTGGCTCCACCTTAAGTAGAGGACGGGGAAGGCACTGCGGAGCACAGTCCAAGGCCAGCCTTCCTGCCGCTGCCCCCCCCTCCCCCCACTTCTGGACCCCAGCCAAGGCCAAAAGAAAGCGCAGCCATCTCAGCAATAAACTTGACATGTTTATTAATTAAACTATCACTTAAATAAAAAAAAGTGCATAGAAAATAAACATGTTTAAAAACTCCTTTTTTTTTACAACTATGTACACTTTTTACTTTTACATTCAGTCTTTCGTAGAGAGCTTTCAGCATTATTATTTTTTGAACTATTAAAGTATTTTCCTTCATCCCTGTCACAGGGAGTTAACACTGATGGACTTTAGACATGTTTTCCTTTTTTTTTTCCTTTCTCTTTTTCTTTAACCAGAAGCTTGGAAGAACACAAGGAAAAAAGAAAAAAGAGAACAAAAGATCTGTTATACATGATAAAGTTGTCAAGAAATGTCTTATTTCTAGAAAAGAAGCTTGTCATTTGTTGAGCTCTTGAAACAATTATTCAACTACCTGTATTTACTAAAGAGACTGTTTAAAAGTTCAATAAAAGAAACACCACAAGTCTATTTCCTTGGTTGAAAGACAGAACTAGAGTACCTCAGAACAAGATACCAGGAAAGCACAGAACACAATTTCCCCTAAATGCAGGTGGTAACCCCAACATTCATAACCAAAAAGAGAGAAACGAGGAGGACAGGTACCGAGACTGGCAACATTCATGGGCAGAAAAATATCCAGGTGACACCATTTGCGCCTCCCTCTGATCCTAGGAAGGGGCCCTCTGCCCATTCCCGGAGGGTCTGGTGCCCCAAGGCGGAAATGAGAGGCTCGGGGACTGACTGCTCCCTGCCTCTACTAGCCACTGTAACACAATCCTTATCTATAGTGTTAAGAGAATTAAAAGCCATGGACTGAGCTAGGCTTTGTTACATGGTGCATTACTATAATAGTTCCTATATATATATCCTATTTATATTTATTTGAAAACCAAAAGGAACAAAAACAAGTTGCAGTTTTCAGAGTGTGAGACGACTAGATTTCATGATTCGGCAGAAAACCATTTGCTCAATAACCTTGTATTGCTTTAAAACGAAGGAAATTCAACATGAAATTACACCCAGCCCTTTGAAATGACCCACTTTTCCTTAAAAATAACAAACTTGATTTCTATTAAAAACAACAACAAAACCAAATCAAACTTAAAAGTTAACATCAGACAAGGTTTTGACCTTTAGTATTCTCAGATATTTGATTGAAGTCAGTCCTTTAGAAAGATACATTCATTAATTTTTTGTATTTTTTTAAGGTGGTTTTTTGTTTTTAAGTTTTTTTTTCCTTTTTTTTTTTTTAAATCAAGAGAGCTGCATGGTGTGCCTGCATTGGCCGGCGGGGTTGGCTGAGGCGAGCAGAGTGGTAGACTGGATCCCGGCAAAAGTGTGGGTGAAAACTTAGAGCTGCCAAGGCTTCCCCTTGAACTCTGGTCTCAAAACAGGAGGGGCTGTGCTGGAGGTGGTGGCCCGTCAAGGAGGGGGCCGAGGGGCCCAATTCCGGCCACAGGGTCAGCGCCACGCAGCTCTTCTAGCTAGCTGCACAGTGTACACTGGCCACCAGGAAATGCAGCCACGAGAGGTTCTAGCAGCAAAGCTAAAAGTGAGCTGGCTCTCACTGAGAACTGACCAGGTTTCAGGGTTACTCCTTAGGGACTTGGGGCGCCCCTTGGGGGATTCTTGGGAATGACCCACCACAACTCCTCAGCCCGCACTGCGGTGTGGAGCTTCCCTTGGTCACTTTTGAAACAGGCAGGCACAAGAGGGCTTCTGGAGAGAGCTGCGCCATTTCTGGCCTCCGTTCCCTCTCGTAGAGAAACTGGCTCGTCCCCTCAAGTTGCTGGCAGGTATGCTGAAGTTTGGCAATGGACTCAAGGTCAAGGCTGCGCGCTAGAGGAAGTTCTCATTTGGGTGGTTGTCGGTTAGGGTGTAGAAAGGCAAGGCAAACCATCTGCAGCTGGCAGGAGGAGGAGGGATGTGGCTTCCTCCCCTGGCCTCAGGGTCTGGGGGTTGGTAGAAAGAGAACGAGGAGGGGGCTCACAGTACAGCATGGCCTAGCAGGGCGGTAACTAGGTCTAGGTAGCTGAGTTTCCCCCACCCCCTGACTGGCCTTTGGGTCTTCCTCAATGTGAATTCAGGACCCATCAGTGCATTAATCATTTCAGTAACAAATGCAGCTTAAGTTTTTTTTTTCCCCTTTAAAAAAAAAAAAAAAGAGGGGGGTGGGCAGATAAAAGGAGTTACTGAAAAAACAAACAAAAAACCCTCACACAGTGCAATAATAAAGGAAGCAAGACACCAGTGGGACCCCTCGGGCCACTGTATCCTATCCATGGGCAAAAGGAGGGAGGGAGATGAGGTCTGGGCAGAGTGCTTGTCGCCAGGCCCCCGCTGGCACTTCTCCCCGATGACGAGGAGGGCTCTGCCGTCCTGGCCACAGTGCTCGGCTCCCTGCATGACAGCGAAGACAGTGACAACGTTCCAGCAACGCCACCAGACAAAGTTCTCCAGATCACAGGTGAGTGAGAAGGGAGCCCAGGGTGGAAGGCACAGCAGAGCCACGAGTCCTGGGCAGAGTGTGCTGGGCCGAGTCATATTGCTTTGCTAGACTTCCCGAGGAATGGGCTTCTTGTGGCGAGAAGAGGGCGCCCCACCCTGGACCGGACTACACTCCTCTGAGCCCTTGTGGCAGAGGCAGCGAAAAACCGACTTTATCGTCAGTGGTCAGACTGTGCTTCAGTTTCAACGGGCTGCCCTACAAGAGGGCACAGGGAGAGAGATCAATGGGTTCTCGGAGGTATGAGGACTTGGTTGGTGGGCAGAGGGAGAAGGAAGGAGGTGGACCTATGAGGCAGACGGTGATGGAAAATGTCCAGTTGCCATTCAACGTGTTGGTAGGTAACTCTGAAGTAGCAACGAAGAGGGAAATGTAGAAGTCCCGCCCCTCACTCCTGTGGATTGAGAGCCGGAGGGAGGGAGGGAGGGAGGGAGGGAAAGAGATAGGCAGAGCCTATGGCAGAGACAAGGAGAGAGCATTGTATCAAGGTACACCACAGCCTTCTGAGGAGCTTCCGTAGGGGAAGGAGGGGAGGGGCGCAATGAAGGTGGGGGCCTCCTTCTCCATTTATTGTCGAAAGCAAATGCAGGAAACAGTTACTTCTGTCAACAGGGCACAAACAAACCACACATGAAACAACAACAAAAGCACACCGTCTAGGGGAAGTTGGGCAGGAACCCAGACTGTGTGTGCACAGCCGAGTATGTTCTCTACCTTCATCCTATGAGAATAAGAAACTGTTATGAGCCGATCTTGCTTTAAATTAGGGTAATACCGGGGTTAAAAACAGCCTTGTCCTAAGTGCTTCTCCCTGTGAAGTGCTTCCCATAGAAAAATATACAAAATATATTTACATCTATAAAACCTTAAATAGTAAACTGTAAACGGAACAGAGTAAAATCCAATGACTTAATTTAACGGGCTCGGGACTCTGAGGGGAGGAAGGGAGAGAAGAGCGCGTGGTGCTGCTCTCACCACAGCTTAAGGAGTCCTCAGGGCAGTAGTGTCGTTTAACTTGCTGTGTCCATGGGCTTCACACACGTGGCAGGGTCTCCTCAACACAAAGCGGCCTCGTCCCCAAGTGTCGGGCCTTGGAATCTGATTAGTGTTCTGCCTTCAAGTGGACATTGACCTTTGAAAGTGAAGTCTTCCTATATCTGAAAAGGGGGAATCAAAGTAACTGTGCCCTAGGGATGGAAGCCAGAGCTCAGCCTGCGGGCCATCCTCTGGTTGTTGCATGATTCAAATCCTAGTGAAATACTCCTTTTCCTCCTCTCTAGGAGATCATGCTCCATGTATTTCTTTACCATGCTAAATTCTGTCTGGTTGTGTCTAGTGGCTCCTGTCCACTTCCTCCCTGGAGTGCTTACAGGCTCATGGAACTTTCTGTAGGCACATGCTATGCCCACTAGCGAGTACCCTCGAGCAAGGAGGAAACCCCTTTACCACCCGGAAAGAAGAATGGGAAAGTGGTGGGATGAAGGACAGGGGAGTGACAGAAGTGAAGAGGAGGAAGGAGAGAAGGAAGCCGCTCCTATTGTCAAGAAAGGGGATTGGCTGAGATAAGGCTCACGTGGATGAGAGTCCCACTTACAGCCCACAGGCTCAATGTTTGGTAATAAATTGGCACAACCCTAAGACAGCCTTTTGTCACCCAAGGTGCTAGGAATCCTGTCTCCCAACCAGAAGCGAATCAAGTGGGAGGGGACTAGGAAAATTCAACAGACCTTCTCTGTCCAACAGACGGCCACAGACTGGGCCTGGCTGGGCAACTATCAGGGACCCAACCGACCCTCTCTCTGGGGCCTGCCTGCCCCTCACGGATAGTGCTTAA